TCTCCCTTATGCTGCCAGTTGAGATCCACCTGTGATACTTCCACCTTGGCAGCTTGGTCCACCTGCTTGTTGTTGTGATGCTCTTCATTAGCCCAACTCTTGGGTATGTGTGCATCCACATGTCGAATCTTTACAGTCAGCCTTTCTATCCTGGTGGCAGTGTCCTGCCAAATCTCGGCGGCCCAGATGCGTTTCCCTCTGTGCTGCCAGTTGGCCTTTTTCCAGCAACTCAGCCATCCATGAGCAGCTGTAGAGATAAGAGTCTCGGCCACTTTTCTCATTCAGCAATATCTAAAGCCAGCTGGACAGCTTTAAGCTCTGCAACCTGACTTGATCCACCTTGCCCCTCAGTGGCTTGTGCAACTTGTCGTGTGGGGCTCCACACTGCAGCTTTCCATTTCCGGTTAGTGCCTACAATTCAGCAGGAACTATCAGTGAAAAGAGCATATTGTCTTTCAGTCTCTGGTAGCTCATTGTATGGTGGAGCTTCTTCAGCACATGCTACCTGCTCTTCCTCCTCAGAAGACAATCCAAAAGTCTCCCCTTCAGGCCAGTTTGTTATAACTTTCAGAATCCCAGGGCGATTTGGATTTCCGATACGGGCGTACTGGATGATGAGGACAATCCATTTACTCCATGTGGTGTCGGTGGCATGATGTGTGGAAGGAACCTTTCCTTTAAACACCCACCCCAGCACTGGTAGCTGGGGTGCCAGAAGCAGCCGTGTTTCAGTGCCAATTACTTCCAAAGCAGCTTGAACTCCTTCATAGGCAGCCAAGATTTCCTTCTCTGTGGGAGTGTAATTTGCTTCAGAGCCTCTATAACTCCGACTCCAGAATCCCAGTGGTCGACCCCGAGTCTCACCAGGCACCTTCTGCCAAAGGCTCCAGAACAGACCATGGTTCCTGGCCACAAAGTAGAGCACATTTGTTAGCTTCGGTCCTGTTCTGACTGGGCCAAGGGCTACCGCATGAGCGATCTCCTGCTTGATCTGGGTGAAGGCTTGTTGCTGCTCAGGGCCCCAGTGGAAATCATTCTTCTTGTGGGTAACCAGGTAGAGAGGGCTCACAATTTGGCTGTACTCAGGAATGTGCATTCTCCAGAAACCTATGGCGCCTAGGAAAGCTTGTGTTTCCTTCTTGTTGGTAGATGGAGACATAGCAGTGATTTTTTTGATTACTTCTGTTGGGATCTGACGACGTCCATCTTGCCAATTGAATCCTAGAAACTGAATTTCTTGAGCTGTTCCCTTAACTTTGCTTTGCTTAATGGCAAAACCAGCTTTCAGTAGAATCTGGACAATCATTTCTCCTTTTTCAAAAATTTCCTTTGCTGTGCTCCCCCATACGATGATGTCGTCAGTATACTGTAGATGTTCAGGAGCCTTGCTCTTTTCCAGTGCAGCCTGGATCAGTCCATGGCAGATAGTGGGGCCGTGTTTCCACCCCTGGGGCAGTCGGTACCAGGTGTACTGCACTCCCCTCCAGTAGAAGGCAAACTGAGGCCTGCATTCTGCTGCCAAAGGGATGCAGAAGAAGGCATTGGCGATATCAATGGTCGCATACCACTTTGCTGCCTTGGACTCTAACTCGTACTGGAGCTCCAACATGTCTGGCACGGCAGCACTCAGTGGTGGTGTAACCTCACTCAGGCCGCAGTAGTCCACTGTCAGTCTCCATTCTCCACTGGACTTGCGCACTGGCCATATAGGGCTGTTGAAAGGGGAATGAGCTTTGCTAACCACCACTTGGCTCTCCAGTTTACGGATCATCTCATGGATGGGAATCACAGTCTCTGTTGGTGTGATATTGCCAACAGTGTACTGTTGCTGTGGCAATTGGTACCTGTTGCTCTTCAACTCTCAGCAGTCCCACAGCAGAAGGGTCATCTGAAAAACCAGGCAAGGTATTCAGTTTCCGGATGTCTTCTGTCTCTACAGCAGCTATCCCGAAAGCCCAACAATGTCCTTTTGGATCTTTGAAATATCCATTTCTGAGGTAGTCTATGCCAAGGATACATGGGGCCTCTGGGCCAGTCACAATGGGGTGTTTCTGCCACCCATTCCCAGTTAAGCTTACTTCGGCCTCCAATACAGTCAGCTGCTGGGATCCTCCTGTTACCCCAGAGATGGAAATGGATTCTGCTCCTACATAACTTGATGGCATCAGGGTACATTGGGCACCGGTGTCAACCAAAGCTGTATATTTTTGTGGGTCAGATGTGCCAGGCCATTGGATCCACACAGTCCAATAGATCCGACTGTCCCTGTCCTCTACCTGGCTAGAGGCAGGGCCCCTCTATGCCTGGTCATAGTACACATTTCTCTCTTCCTGCAAATAGCTTCCTGAAGTTCCTTCAAGAGGGTCGGTCATATCATTATTCCTATATTGTCTAGAATTTCATGTGTGAGAGACTGGAGCAGCATTGACTCTAGATGAGCTTCTCGTGTTGGGGGTTCCTCTTTTCAGTTCACGTACCCAGGCTGCTAAGGAGGAGGTGGGTTTTCTGTCCCACTTCCTCATGGCTTCTCCATGCTCCTGAAGGAAAAACCAGAAGTTACCTCATGGAGTGTATCCTCTCTCCTTGGCTGGGGAACACCGGCTCCTAATGGCAGAGACTCTTGTTGGTTCTGGTGAGATCTGGTCAACTTCTTCCTTAAGTTCCTTTTTTAGTTTCTGATGGCTGTCTTCAATCAAGCCCTAGACTTGCTCAGCCAGTCTTGTTTCTAAGGACGAGACATGGGTATGAAACGGGGCGGTGACAGTGTCCTCGTAAATTCTTAGTTTATTGGCTAAGACACCCACCCTGTCCTCGCCTTCTCTCCATTGCAGCGTTGCCAGGTAACGGGAATACATCTCTGTTCCAAGCTGTGCAAATATCAACTACATCTGTGATTTGCACTGGACACAATCTGAGCTCTTAGGAAGTCTCGTCTTCTGAGAAAATTATCTCCAGCACAGCCAATTCCCTCAGGCATCGGATACCTTGTTCTATTGTGCTCCATTTTCCTTGGTGTACGTGGAGGTCTTCTTTGCAAAGGTATCTATCCCTCATGCTTGTCAGCAGTAGTCGCCAGAGCCTGAGAGTTTCTTGGGTTCTCCCAATCCCCTGGTCAATGACCACATCCCTGGACAGTACTCCCAGTTGCTTGGCCTCACTTCCATCCAGAATGGTATCATTGGCTGCAGCATCCCAGATGCGGAGCAGCCAGGTCAGGATGGACTCGTTCATCTGGCGGGTGAATTCTCTCTGCAGGTCATGCAGCTCACCCAGGGATAGAGACCAAGTGATGATTTCTGGCTCTGTCTCTTCTGCTGGGTGCGAGGGTCCTGCCACATCCTCGTCGGTCACTATGCGGACTGATTTGCTTTTTGATTTCTTCTTCTGAATGGGGGCAACTGCTACTGGTTCAGGCTGTTTGGGTTCAGTGATGGTCTGTGTGGAAATGCTGACGGTGCTTTGGGTTTCTTCCTCCTCTGTGAGTTTGTGTAGACACAGACACTGTTGCTTTATTTGTGGTTCTTTCTTCTTCTATGACAGTCTGCATGGACACAGATGCTGCTGTTTCACATTCGGTTCCTTCCTCTTCTGGCACAGTCTGTATAGACATGGATGCTGTTTCGCTGCTGGTTTCTTCTTCCTTTGTGGCAGTCTGCGTGGGCATGGATACTGTTGTTTTGCCTCTCCTTTCTTCTTCTTCAAGAAAATGCTGCACCACATCATATAGTGCTTTGCTCCTAAGCAGGTTGCAAGATGTGCAGAGAAGACAAAACAGAACTAACAGCAACACTATGCTATCTTTGGTATATAGAAAGAGCTCAACCTTTTCAAAAATGGCGTGTCAAACCTGAAAGGCTGGGAAAAGTAATTCTTTACCCCCCCCTCCCCCAGGGACTGGGTGAGATTTTTGAGGCCCCAAACATAGCAGCTTAGATGAGGACAAGAAAACAAAAGTGAATATATATTCCAAATTACATTCATTGTTTCTGAGGTTATCATGCTATAGAAATAATAGACCAATAATGCAATTTTTATACTGTATCCTGATTTACATAGGAGCATTATGATCAGCAGATAATGCCTGAGCATGGAAAAACATAGAGTTAGGTATGAGACCCATATAAACATGTTAAGCATCATAGCAAAATTGTAATTTTGACTTTCTTAGTAGCTTCTAGCCCCACATTGGGCGCCAAAATTATGCCCTGGTTTGAAAAGCAAAACCAGTGAGAGGCTCTAAGTCAGAAGTACAATTTATTAGGAAAAAGGGAACAAAGAACCAAATACATACAATATCACAAAAGAAGAACCACTGACAGAGTTAGAGATACAACCTGACATTTGCTGGCTGGGGCGGTGGTAGCAGATATGGTTCTGTCTAAGCAGTGGTCCTGTAGACTGATGTAGTTTCCCTCTGGAGGTCCAGTGTAGAGAAGGTCTCAGCTGTTCCCCTTGGAAGAGGGGATCTCCTTGCTGTCTGCACAACCCCGCTCATATCCTTGATGGCATCATTTGGCTCCTCCCTATGGGCGGAGCATCTCACAACAGAATGATGTGATCTTATCAGTCACCTGCCTAAAAGAACAGGTCCTCCTGGAGGGACTTACCTCTGAGTCACGAGATAAGGAAAGAAAGGGATTGCATCTTGAGGTGGTAATGAAATACACCCCAATATTATAACCTAGGACAACCAAGCTGCTGCACACATGCACGTTCATGTAAGGGGAGGTATGACACAACAAAGCAGGCACAGCCATTTGCTTGACTCGCATATCACATGACATTCATCTTACATTTACAAATATACTTGTGTATATACTGCTGGAATTATGTGCTCTGACAGTTGTACCAACAAGCTGAAGGATTTTCCCTCTGACATGGAGGGAATCTTCTCATGGATCTGCTTCCAAAAGGCGTTTTAAGAAGCATCATTAGTATAATTTGCACAGCAAATATTGTCCATTCTAATTGAAAGAAAAGAAATTGAATACTCTCCTCACCTTTTATTGAACTCCTCAAGTTCTGCTCTCAGCTTTCCTATTTCAATTTGTAATCTAGCCCTCTCTTTGGCAGTTTCATCCAGAACTCTTCGAGCATCAGCCAGTTCAGACTCATAGAGACTCTTGATTCCACTCACCTAAGGCAAAAAAAAAGTATTGGGTATGAGAACATCACAACAACTATCAAAGAACTGAAACATAGGACCAGGTTACACACAAGTTTCTTTTGAAAAAGGGTGTATGATATGATTACTGCCATTTAAGAACATTCTATATTGAACATTTTCCATTAACGAGCAACCCAAATATTTAGTTTTTATTACCACTGCGACAAAACATACTATGTTTGAAATGTGCAAACCTTCCCAAGAGATAAACTGAACTAGATCAGTGCACCTTACAATCTTAACTTCAATTACTTGCCGTTATTCCCAACACTGCTGCTTTGGGAGATTTTTTTTTTTTTTTAACACATGAAGACATTTTGTGGAATACAAGCCCAAGGGCCCAATTTGACTCTGCTGTTCTTCCACTACAAAGCTATAAAGGGTCTGAAACCAGATGAACTATAGAAATGTGAACTGCTCAGAAATGAGCTTCCAGTCTTCTCTATCTCATAGGATAAAGAACTACAGACTTCTCCCTGTCCCAAAATCATTTATCATATAATCAGCAATACAAACTGCATGAGGCATCTTGAAGTCTTTTATACCTTTTTATTTTTTATAAGGCATGATTATTTCAAAGTTATATCAGACAACTAAAAGGTACAGACCATGTAAGAATACTACTTTTGCTTCTGTGAAAGGATGCCAGAACAACTTTCATAGAATCATAAAATATGCTGAGTTAGACCTGTCAGGAGCATCAAGTCATACTCCTGGCACTGCACAGAGCACCCCAACAATCTTACATTGTGCCTGAGAGTATTGCCCAAATGCTCCTTGAGCTCTGGCAGCCTTGGTGCTCTGAACACTTCCCCAGGGAGCATGTCCAGTGCCCAACTACCTCCTGGGAAAAAACATCCTGATATCCAAACTAAACCTTCCCTGACTCAGCTCCATGCTGTTTCCTCAAGCTCTCTCACTGGTCATGAGAGTGTACAGACTGGTACCTGCCTCTCATGAGGAGGTTGAATACTGCATTGAGGTCTCCCTTTATTTTCCTCCAGGCTGAACAAACCAAGTGCCCTCAGCAGCTCCTCATACAACTTCCTCTCTAGACCCTTCCCCATCCTTGTGGCCCTTCTTTGGACACTTCTCTATTAGCTTAATATCTTTTTTATACTGTGGTGCCCAAAACTGCCCCCAGAACTCAAGGTGAGGCTGCTCCAGTGCAGAGCAGAGAGACACAATCCTCTCCCTCGCCCAGCTGGCAAGGACATGGTTGGCCCTCCTGGCTCCAGGGCACTGCTGACTCAGATCCAACTTCAATCAATCAATCAGAACCCCTAGGCCCCTTTCTGTAGCCCCTCTTCAGCTTCTTGTTCCCCAGTCCATCTACACAACCATGGCTGCCCCATCCTAGGGGCAGCATCTAGCACTTGCCCTTGTTAAACTTCAGATGGTTGTTGATTTCCCATCTCTGATTGGTCAACATTTCTCTGGAGGGCCTCTCTTCCCTTGCAGGTGTTGAAAGCTCCTCCCAGTTTAGTGTCACTGGCAAACTTTCGTAGAATCCACCACAGTCCTGGATCTAAAGATCATTGATGAAGATATTGATGGGCTAAGGATGGAACTCCACTTGTGATCAATGTCAGCCTGATGTCCCTCCATTACTATAACCCATTGTGACCAATTCGTGAGCCAGTTCCTCACACAGCATGTGACAGGGTTATCCAGCTGTATGCTGAACATTTAGTCAGGTGGATCCTGATCCTGTCTCTCTGAAGCAGTTGTGAATCCTGAAAGATAGTTCCATGGTCAAAGAATCAAAGAATGAGTTGGGTTGGAAAAGACCTTAAAACTCATCTCATTCCAACCCCTTGCCATGTGCAGGGTCACCTTCCACTATCCCCAGTTGTTCCAAGCCTCAATCTGGCCTGAACACTTCCAGGGATGGGGCAGGCATAGCTTCTCTGAACAGATCAGAGGTTCAGAATGCCCTCTCCCCTGCTGCCCACACTGGGGGCTCAGCCCATCACAGAGGGGGTTTGTGGGGGCTAGTGCCCATGGTCAGGGCAGGTTGAGCCTCTCACTCACCAACACCCCCAAGTCCGTCCCAGAGTGACTCTCAATCTATTCTCCACCCAGACTAAATTTGCACTGGGGGTTTGTTACAGAATCCAAAACCCTGCTGCCAACAGCAGTTGTGGAATCCAGAGCTGCTCTGCAGGATCTGCTTGGCTATCCTCAAGCCCTTCACTCTCCTCACACCACCTGGGCTCTGATGCCACTGATGATCACTGTCTTGATTTGAAAGACAGGTGTCTGCCAAGGAAGGCAGAAACCTCCCTGGGAATTGAAAATGTGACCCCCTTCTCCCCAAATTATTATAACTTTGAAATTTTGGGACTTTCAGGCAAAGATAAAGGAAAACAAATAACAGTTCTTTACTAGTATGTGTATGTACAACAAGGCAAACAAACAACAGCAGCAGCAACAACAAACACACCCAGTCCCAGCCTGGAGCCCAGACCCGGCCCCGGTCCGGAGCCCAGACCCGGCCCCGGCCCGGAGCCCAGACCCGGCCCCGGTCCGGAGCCCAGACCCGGCCCCGGCCCGGAGCCCAGACCCGGCCCGGAGCCCAGCCCCGGCCCCGGCCTCTCCCGGCCGCCCGCACTCTCCCCTTTGGCGCAGTTCCGGGCACAGCCGGCAGGGGCGCCGGTGGCTCCCGGCCGGGCCGGGCAGGTGCGATGATTCCCCCGCGGCTGCAGGGGGCGCTGTGGCGCGGGCTCAGCCGCCTCGCCCCACGGCAATGGCGGGTGAAAGAGAGAAAGGGCTTCCTTTGCAAACCCTCAGTGGGGCAGCTGGTCTCAGCGCCACTTGGAAAGCTGAATGGCCTGCAGCAGGAACTTCAGAGAAACAAGCTGGAAGAGCAGCGGCAGGCACACCCAGGGTGGCAAACACAGTGAGGCCAGGGTCAGCGAGACCCAGAGAGTCCAATAAAGTGTAGCAAAAAGCCAGAAACAGACGCTAAAAGCAGAGAGGCTGGGCAGTGGCAGCTGGGAGACACTTCATCCCAGGAGCTCAGGGTTCCAGGTTTTCCCCTGGGGCACCCCAGTAGATGAGGGTCCTTTGCAGTGAGGTTGGGTATTGAAAAGGTCACAGTTCAACGGCCGCTCTTATAAGCAAAGGCTCATACATGGTAGTAGAAGCAGGACAGAACTCCGTGGTGGCAGCAAATTCTCCCTGCAGTAGCAGCAGCCCAACTGCCTGCCTTCTGACCCTGAGAGCGAGTGAGGAGTTGAGCCCAGCCTCTGAACCTCCAGCCAAAATCTCATAGTGCCTCTGCACTTCTCAAGAGAAAACCTTAGGTACTGCAGCCAGCTGCATGCCTTCTGCACATCTTGGCCTTTGTCTTTCTCAATATATAGTTGCAGTCTCTTAAGCAACAAATGGGAGAAAAACTCCGTATGAGAAAGAAAAGGGAAAAAACCCAACAACAAAATCCAAAACCAAAAAACTCCCAAAACCAAAAACAGCCAAGCCAAAAAAACCCCAAACAGAACCCACCCCTAACCTCCAACAATGACCCAGAGCCATGTAGTTATGTCTGATACTCTTCAGGTCCCTCTTGTCCCCAGCACTGGTCCCTCTGTTGAGGAGCAGAATGGATAAACGCATATGGCCATGTGAGCTTCAGCAGATTTTCTACAATGCCCAGAATACAAACCCTGGGAAGCAGCAACAAACATTCCAAGATGACAAGTTAGGCCAGCAAATTGGTCTCTCAACTGTGAAAATGGAAACCCCATATGAAAGCAAAGGAAAAAAACCCAAAATGTTTACCAGAAAACAAAAGGATATGCTGCAGCCCAATCCACTTCATGTCCATGTGCACCCAAGCATAACTTTTCCTGCACATAGGCCAACCTAGACACCCTTATTGCACCACAAATGTACTTTCACTTTTTTACCCCCTCTTTTGCTGGCAAAAGAGTCTGTGAGTTTGTAGTTGGGCAACACAGGAGCAAGGAAATAGAAAAAGAAAACAGAGATGCTTCCATAGCAGACTCTGAAAGCTACAACTGCTGGATGCTCTTACCTACCTTCACTGGGAGCATTTAAAGCTCAGTAGGCAGTGGGTCAAGGGCAGACACACCAACACCCTCTCAAAACAACCCCACTTGAGAAAAGCTGCAGCATGTAATTCAGTGAAGACTTGAAACATGTCAAGAAGGCACTGAAGCAACATGCTAGAAACGAGAACATGGCAAGAAACATGTTCCAGCCAACCACAAGTGACTCCAGACAAATTTGGTGATGAAACATTAATCTCATAAGAATACATTAATGTGCAAAACATAAGTGTATTCCCACCAGGTGTGGCTTAGTATGTTCTTATTTAGCCAGTTATAGATTGACAAAGGACTGCCAGTCAGCTATAGCTCAAGCCCACCGAGAATATCAGTCAAGTTCTCAAGAACAATGAAGATGTGTGTTACGTCACCTCCCAGATGACATCTACAGTGCCAGAAAATAATTTAACTCAGTATTTCAGAGGATGCAACTTGAGTGACCCAACATCTACAGCAGCGTCTAAGCATGTATTTTGCAGGTGACACCTAGGCAACACCAGACACTCATATCCTGGTCATGACAGTAGTTCTGGTCACCAAAGGGCATGGTAGCTCCAACACTGGCAGGTAAGAGGAAACCATGTGAGATTGCAGCCACCTGCACTCACATCCACAGAGATGGAAAGACATGGATGAATAAGGAACCCCATAGATCCTGCTTTTGTTACAAGGGCAATTCCCATCGGGAGCTGAGGCTCCCAAGGATCTTATTTTTCTAATTCTCCTTTGAGGGGGGAGCACAGTGGGGTGTCCTCAGAACAGCGCAGTAATCTCTCCTGTCCCCATTAAAACATCTATTCAAGAAGGCTACAACCATAAGCACTGCAGGAGAGGGAAGGGAGTTAGTAAAAGGGAATTGAGGAGAGCTCTAGGACTGTTCTCTTAACTCTTCCAGTATGTCCCCTCCCAGCCTCACAAATTATGTTATTGCAACAGTGACCCCAACACAGTGAGAACAGAATCAGTCATGTACTAAGGTTTAAAAAAACAAGGGGATAAGCTCAATTTCTCTTCTGTCACAGGCTACCTTACACAAGGGCAGTGATGGAGGAAAGCAGAAAAGGAATGAGAACAGTTAGAGGTTCCCTCAGCCACATCTGTAAACCTTTTTTTTTGCATTTGACTGAGGGCTTACAGTATATACTTTTTATCTGTCTAGGTACCTACTGCATACTGTCGGAATCTGAGGTATTGATGATCCTGAGATTGTAGAAAGTCTCTGTCTTTCAGCCCTGCTGCCAAAGAAGCCATAATTGGTCTGTGCTGGTTTCAAGGCTGTTTATTCTGTTTATCTCT